GCTCTTCAATTTAATGTTTCCAAAAGGTATTTTTATTAGTCCAATGCTGACATATGTGTGTATCCATTTCACAATAGGAATCACAGAAGAAACAAAGTTTATCTTTCTGATTCACATACAACAAGAAAAACAAAAGATGCCGGCTTTGGGGGATGAAAAGAAGTTTTACTGTCACAAAACCTGTTAAATGACCTCTGGGGTAAGTTGCCCATTACATCTTTTGCTTACAGAGCTGTACAGAAATACAGCTTTCAGTTACAGATTGTCTGACTCTTTTGATATTTGATACAATCAAGGGTGCTCTGGAAGGTCATAAAAAAAGCAATGCAGCAGTGAGCAGAAACCAGAACTCTCTAACACAGAGTGACCTCCATGGCACTGATGTGTCTGCACACATCTCGCAGCAAGATACCCGACTGGAACAGCCACCGAAGGTTGGTGGAAAACAAAATAAAGTCCGCCCTTTTAAAATAATAGTCATATTTTGTCTGAAACGATAACCGGAGAGCGCAAATTCAGAGGCAGAGCAGACCGCTTATGCCGACAATGTTTTTTGCCAATCAGGTAAATCAGCATAATGTTGTGTCAGGCCATTCAGCTGATTACAGATTCTGGCAGGAGAGCCATGGGAACCTAAGGAAAAATCAGAACAAGCTAGAAAACAGACAACACAGTGAAATGACAGAAACGGAGAGAGGAAACAAAGTCCCCACGATGATGACTCATGGTGAGCAGCCTCAGGATTAGCCTGTGTCAACTAACAATATGAACCGTAATGGTGCATATTTGACATTTCACTGAGTACGCTGTCAGCTGATTACGTTTTGCTCTAGAGGCCATGAAACAAAATGGCAAATATCAAACACAGCTACCTCAAAGTTAATTTGTTTTCTTTCAGACCTTTGATTTGAATACATGATGGCAACTTATCCAACAAACACTGGACAGATGAATGTCATCCTGTAGGTGTGCTTGCAATGGAAAACCGAACAGAACCATCATGTGAAGTAGGCATACACTTAATGACTGCGCAAACATAACCCAGTCGTCGATCTTCAGAGAATGAATGGCAACTCAGGAAACAATGGGTGCTTATTTTGAGTGAGATGTCAATGCTCATTGTTGGGTTCTCCATCCAACTGGCCAGGGTAAACAGCATTCAGGGTAAAGTGCGGCTGACTGAGTGGCAAGTATTTGCAAGCTCGCTGCCTTTTCATGCCAGTCATGGATTTCTGAGCACTGTAACACTGATAATTACATGTCATTATACAGCTCTGAAGCACTGACACAAATACTTAACCCAGCGAAATGGTAAACATGAGCACTAAAACGCACGGGGAAGGCACCTTTATTCAAGTGAGGAGCTGCAAAGACAGACAGGCTGCATTTTAGAAAAAGGTGGAGTTAACAGACTGACTGCTGAGTCTACCCGCAATTTCAGTGAGATTACCATGGGATTATCGCAGACTGCATATGGCTCCTCATCACTTACATGGATGCTAATGCCAACAAACATCACATACGTTGTTAGGAAAAAATCTCGCTACAGCAACACTAATTTTCTATTGGATGGGTTAATGTCAGATACCTACACAATTCAAAGAAGTCATTGATATCTAAATCTATTATGGTAATAATTGCATGACTTGTGGAAATTATTACAAGACCTAGCCACGCAATAAGTCTTCATCTTTACATAGCGGCTACAATTGCGGTTTAAACTGTCCCCAAAGCTCAGTCTGTCAACTACTGTGTCACACAGATGCAATAATCAGCAACATGTAGGTTTTTCTCCAAAGTGACACAAAAATCACACTTATCCTGAACTTTTCTACCAATCCAGCCACACGCAAAACGAAAACAAATAAGAGCAGTCTTCTCCAGCCCGTATGAAAATAAATCAAATTATTTGCAAAGGCTTTGTTAGCCTGCCGTTATCACGGAGCTATTGTTGCTCTCTGGGCTACCGCTGCTCAGCGGAAGCTTTGGTTAAAAGTGCCTTTAAGAGCAGAGAAAAAAAATAAAATTAAAGCGGATTGTTTTTCGCGGCTGATAAATAAAAAAGGGAAGTAATGTCCAAATTGTATGGCGACAGCCCAGTAAGAGGAGTCATATTCACCACAGCCCTGTAATTAGTAGCATATCCTAAGAGGCTAGGGTAAGCTATCTCTGCGGTGTCGCTTTGACTTCAGCCCTCGGAAATTTACTTTGAGCAAGATGAGATGCAACTGTTGAAAAGCGGTCGTTAAAAGATATTTACCAGAAAGTGAGGAGCTTCGCAGGCATTATTTTTTCTTCGTTTCCCCTCGTAGTTTAGGCAGCACTCCGATCCAACTTGTCTCAGGCAGAGAGAGGGAGAGGGAGAGAGAAAAAAAAATGCAGCTCAACACCTTCTTTTCCCAACTCTGCTCATTACGCACGGCTCGACGTCAACCTTTGGTCTCTAATGTGCAATAGTTTCCACTTGCATCGACTTTCCGGTGATTTTTCAGCATCTACCTCGACTAAAAACTAAACCCAGACCGTTTTAAATCTCGGTTCGGTTCGGTATTTCCCCTTAGTAGCACAACGCCTTGTTGGGTGGTTGTTATGGCCTATCCCAACGCTACCCGTTTCAAGTTAGCCAAAATAGAAGGAAACTTCCGGTCATGTTTTTCAAAATAAAACCTTCAAACGCGAGAGTTTACTGCATTTTCGTTGTGCAGTAACTTGCGACCCAATGAAAAAGCATTTCACATCCCGCGTTTGATATTCAAATTTTGCACAAATTCTGCAGGTGTCGAATAAATTTAAAAGGCACGCTTTGCTCGTGCTCTGAAACGTCTTAATTTTGGAAGTAAAGTCTATCTTTCTTTGAATTTAGGTCAACTTAACACTCTCATTGCTGTATGCCGACTGTTCAAGAGGCCCGTCAGTACTCACAGCAGATTGTGCAATATACCGTTTGCGAGCGCCCTCTAGCGTTTAATTGGTGGCAGTAGTCAGAAATGGGCTACGTACGTGTCACAATCATATGGTCAAGACAGTACTTCTCAGCTTCCCTTTACGTTTTATATAACTGATGACATTGTCAGTAATTCTGCAGGAGAATCGGGAGCTGTGACGAACAGCGGTATGCAATTTTAAGTATAATATTATAGAAAATGTTCCAGACAATGCAACCCAGCGCATGGTTTGTCTATTAACCTTTCCCTCTTTCATTTAGAGGCAGACCTATGAGATGACGTTACTGTGATGCAGGCTGCACCACCAATTTTCGCCTTGATTATTATGTTAAAGCTAACGGCAGCAATGCATCTTTGCAATACATACACGTATTGATCCCTTAACATTGTTTGATTTGGAATATTTTTCCTATTCAGTGTCGACTATTGTGTAAACAGGCATATGCTAGTAGTAAAGACTTCAGGGATAAAGTTGGTTCTGTTTTTTCCCAGCTAGATCTAGTTCTTACTGCATCCTGTTGAGGGCGACAGAATACATGTAATGTGAGTGCCAAAACCTTTTTGTATGTACACTATAGGTTTCAAATAATCATAAACAATGGACACTGTTTTATTATTTGCATCGACTTGCCATGTTGATATAAATCTACAATTACCCTGCAATCACCCCGAGTAAGGAATTAAAAAGGAAAAGCCTTAAATGACAAAGTTAAGCAATACATGCCTTTGGTTTTATTCAGGCAGTATGTCCTCCAGTCTATTAAATAGAAGGACAGAATAGAATGGAACAGAACAGAAATACAAGAGATTTACTCAGACATCTGGATAGCCCTGTCTTTGTGTTGACTTGTGAAGACTATCTTTTGAAGATCTTTGTTAAGTGGTTCTGGTTCAGATACCATAATATTTTTTTTGAAATGACAAAAATTTCTATCTATATATGGAATTAATATACAAGTTGTGTAGTGATAGTAATACAGTTATTGATAGCTAAATGTTCTCTAAAAAGCCTCTGGTTAATCCACTGTTAAATCAAGAATTGACTCTAAACTTATTTTCCTCACAGTGATCAGGCCACATCATATCTTTAAGACCCCATAGTATCATATTATCCCAACAGAGCATGTCACTCTCAGACTGCAGGTTTACTTGTGGTTCTTTGAGTTTTTAAAAACGAGAATGGGAGGCAGAGCCTTCAGCTATGCTGCCCCTCTCCTGTGGAACCAGCTCCCAGTTTGGATTCACGAGACAGACGCTGTCTCTACTTTTAAGACTAGACTCAACACTTTGCTTTTTGATAAAAGGTATAGTTGGGGCTGGATCAACAAACCCTAAACTTTCGCTTAGTTATCCTGCTATAGGCTCAGGTTATTACTGGACTTTATGTTTTCTCTTTCCCCTCACCCTCAGTTGGCTTCTGCAGATGGCTTCCCCTCCATGAGTCTGGCTCTGCTAGTGATTTCTTCCTGTTTACAGGGAGGTTTCCCCTTCCCATGGTTGCAAAGTACGCGCTCATTGGGGGTGGCTTGAGGTTTTCTCCAATACTGTAGGGACTTTATCTTACAGTATAGAACACTTTCAGGTGATTATTGTGGTGAGCTGGTACTATATATATATAAACTTGAATTAAATTGAATGCTGTTGTTGTATCAATATTGTAACAAATATGTAATCAATATTTGTTACATGGATTATCAAAAATCCAGCAAATGCATATTACTTCTTCAGCACTCTGTGTCCTGTGTACTTTCTAGAGAGAAAAATGTTGTAAACAATTGCCAACAATTGATTGCTGTGTTCTTAATTTAGGACTTTGTGTGCTTAACTAACGACTGTTCAGCATTAAAAAAGACACCTTGTGTGCTCATTCAGGCTCGAAATCAGTGTTTTGTAACCAATATTTCCCCCTTTCAGTCCACTTTAATCTTCAGGCACACAACCAAGACCGAATTTGCTGTGATGAGAACTCATTCTGTATGTTTATACAAGTGTCTTTGGTCCATGGAAGTAACTCCTCCCTGGAAGAGTGATGGGAATTAGATAAAAGTACAGGCTATCTGTCAGTATCTCACAGGATGTGAGGAGAAGTTTCCAGAGACACATTTTTCTTCTGTGAACGAGATTTACTGTGAGCTGTCTCAAGAAAGATGTCCTTGCTTTTTAGGAGACCCACACTAACCAGGTTGCTGCTGCTGAAGAACATTAAGCAAAATCAGAGGTCAACCATCTGCAGCAAGCCACCCAAGGAAAAGATTGGGCCAGTGGTAGGACTGACTAACTTTTATTGTACTTGTAATTGAACAGGCAGACATCCTTGAATATCTACACTGTATAATGTCCTGCAACAAAAGCAAGAACTGCAGTAATATTTTTCCTGTACTGAATGGATGCTAAACCACAAGTAATGCCATTTTAGGGACTATGGTGGCATAAAAATGCAAACAATATAAAATAGTCAGTCATTGGAAGTCAGTGTCTGTGATGGTTCAAATGCCCTTAATGCGAAGAATTCAAGCGAACTGCATTCCCCAGTCTGCAGAGTGGAAGAGATGTTTTATTCATTTGTTATTTATAAGTCAGCGCAATGCTCTGGCCTCTGTAAAGGGATCCTATGATGGAACTGCAGCATAGCAGGAAGTGTTTATGCCACTATAAATCTGTTGATCTGTCCTAAGGGACATCCATAGGGGCTTTTACAAAGCTCATCCCAGGTTAGGAATACCATGGTGGAGAGGTACAGAGAGAATATTATGGCAGGAAAATATAAGTGGGTGGTGGCGGTGAAGTTATATCACTAAGACCGGGACCCTCTGTCGTGTTCATTGGCTTAGTCCTTTCTGTTCAACTTAACATATGAAAGAAGATATTTGAGAGCTCAAACACTAACACTGCATTGAATGTGTATTATAACCTTTCATGTAGATTACATTTGCAGTGTCTGTGAATAAAACACTCATGGTTATATTTTATTGGACTTTCTTACAGCAGTCTACCTTTGCCTTATGCGTGTTTGCTGTGACTCTCCTGGCCCCGGCTGGTTGGATCATGCATCATATCCCAGAATATCGAAGACAAGGCCAGAATACCTCAACATGATTGATTTCTACAGGAACTCTGCAGACAGACACCCAAGCAATGTCACTGTGTGAACCTCTCTCCACTGTGTAAAATCTTGTGGAAAAAAGTAAAACCTTTGTTAAATCTGAAGTCTGACTGAGCTATTTTCCTATATAAACAGTTACATATGATAACTATTGTGTATTTTATTTCTGAGATTATTGACTGTTTTGAGGGTGATATATTAGAAAAAGACAACATTTTTGCTTTAACACACTTTGAGGATATCATTTTCATCAGTTAGGAGTATAGACAAAATTCTTGGCAGAAACCATGATGGGAAGGGTCTGTCAGGACCTCAGACCGTAGGGTCTGTTTATCGTTCACTCCTGCATCTACTAGCGGAAGTGCAGCTTAAATGAGAAATGCTGCATTTAGACACAGGCTTAAGTATTCATACACATGCATATTTATATCTCGAAAGTGTTATTGGATAACAATGTACTCTTTAAAGCGCCCAGCTGATAGTGGAGATTAATATTAATATTACTAAATATCAGTATAAAAATATTAGGACACGCTGCCAATCCACGGTGGCCAATATGCTGTATTTATATAAAACAGGGGAAAAAAACCACGATGTTTTCTCAAGGACATGTTTAAGAAGGTGTGACAACCATCTGTTGCATGTTTAGCATTTCATGCATTACAAATACACACATGTAAAGCATCACTGAGGCAAATAAGCGGAGGTGCTTAGTATTTCCCTCCTATAATCAGCTCAAACAGGGTTGTCGGAATTCTTGAATGACAATTTGTCAAAGCCGGATCAGTCCATTTGGAAAGGTGTGGTGTGTCATATATATGTCACCACCCATCTCTGCAACGAGAGAGCAAAATCCCCACCACCACCTCAAAAAATATATATATAAAAACGATTTACAAAACAAGCCCTCCCTTTATTTCCGTTCAAAGATCGCAAAAGCGACCGAAGCACAGCTAAAACACCACAGCGTATAAATCCGTCGTGCAAAGTGGTACAATCAAGACGAGCCTGGGCTGCAAGGGGGCATAGTCACTTTTTCACGACTGAGGGAAACACAACGCCGGGAAGGGAAAAACCTATCAAAACAACTGACAGTCTGGGTTTTATGTTTCCCCAAGTGTCTGCGAAATGTCTACGAAGGCAGAGCAGTGTAAGTACGGCTGTGTGTATCCGTGCGTGCGTGTTTCTGTTTTGTCTTGTGAGGGGGCTGGAAACTGATTTTTTTTTTTTTTTGGTTTAACCAAGAAAGCGAACAAGGGGAGCTGTCCTTGGTGATGAAACCGCGGTTGCCAAGGCAGGTTGCAACACGTCCTCTCACTGCAGAGGATGGCTGGAGGTCTCAGTGCACACAGAGAGCCACTGAATCACCCTCTGTTTCTCTGCATGTTGATGGAACAATTCCATGTCCGAATCGCTCTGTGGTCCGATTTATTTATTTCTATTTTATTTGATTTTGATTGACGTGGCTGGCTGAGGCGCGTGGGAAAAGCGAAGTGTAATGTTGGTCTCAAGGTCGACCTGACAGGCTACTGAACAATATGGTGGCTTCATATTGATCAGTCGTGGGGTCTGATCACACTATATTGACGTCTGTTGTTCATTCCACTTCGCTGGTTGTGAACAGGTGGACACCAGTTCTTCTGTTTTTTTTATTTTTTTTTATTTTTTACCGTAAACAATAGATAAAAGACGGGGTCGAACTCAGTGTTAGGGGTTCCCAGCCCCATCAGCTGGTTAAAAGTTGGGTGTTGCTCCTGTTGTTTGGTAGACAGTAAGTGAGGGAATGAACAGAAAACGCTGAATGTGCTGTTGTGACTAACAGCTCGAAATATTATTAAAAGGTTGAAAAATATTTTTAAAAAATGTCCTATCTTTCCGAGGAAGTTTAATTTTATGATGAACCGGAAAGATGCTGTGCTTCAGTATTTATCGCAGCACATGCTTTGACCAGACAATCCTCCAAGCCTGCAGCTGTTATTTTTATTTTGGGGTTTGTCATTTACAGGTCAGGAAGGAAGCTAAACATTCCTGCCTAAAGTCACAGAAAATGGGTCAGCGATCACCCACTTCAACATATTTGAACTCCTAACAACAAACAGCACAGTCATATCTGAACCTACAGAGATTACTTCAATATAGAGCAGCCAGCTGGGCTCATTACAGAAATGTTCCTCTGTGTTGCTTCTTAAGCCCCCTTTCGTGTTCGCTATAACCACATTTTCCCAGCTTGTCTTGGGACTTGAACTGGCAACCTTTCGTGTGTGAGCTTGTTTCTGTAAGCAGTAGGTTACTGCCTCCTCTAGGGCTTCCTGTGACCTGCTGCTATGACAAAAAAGGTCACCCGGTGAAGGCCAGAGAACCATGGGAAAACAGACTTTTTGTTTAACTTCATAGCTGAAGGATTCATGTTAAATGCTACCTAACAGCTTGTTCAGTTACATGATATATGTCTTTGCTGTCGTGCATCATATCTCACTAGTGTTGATTTGCTTGTTGCTCTGCTCTTTATTTTGTCCAGTTGCCTCTAAGATACGATACTTGCAAGAGTATCACAACCGTGTGCAACACAATATTTACCCAGTGCCCTCCGGAACAGACATTGCAAACACACTGAAATACTTTTCCCAAACCCTGCTCAGGTAAGTACCCTGCTCTGGAGCCACCAGGTGAAGTAAAGATTGTAGAATGTTTGATATTAGCTTCCTTCACAATCAGATGAGATTAATTACAGCAGGTCGCTCTGACACACTTTCTCAAAGGCATGACAGTGACACAATTCAATGTCTCATATCAATTCATAATGTCAGCAAGAAGTTAGGGAAGTGGCCATCATGGCAGATGTTGCCTCGCCTCTTCTGCTCTGAAAGATACAGACTGTAGCAGATTTCCTGTGTAATTATGGTGTCGTCTTTTTAAGGCAGCTGCGGAGATAGATGGCTCAGTGATGTTTATTGATTCAGTGGTCGGTTGCTAGATGAACGCTTTCCTGAGGCGGTTTGCTGTGTCCTTCCCAGAGGGCCTGGAGTTCAGCTCCTCCGGCTATGCAGTTGCAGGGTCAGCCTGCTCTCTTGGGTGCTGTGAAGGGAACAGCCTGTTATTTCCTCTTCCAGCATAGGTCAAGTAGGCAGCCATTTTGAACACGTCTAATTTAATAGAGCACTATTTCCTCTTTTTTTTTCTCTCTGTCCAGTTGGAGCTTCATTTTTCCAGACATGCTCTGCAGAGATAGGATATTTCTTGTGGTTCCAGTATTACTACCCGCCAGCTTCAGTGAGAACAGAGGCACTGTCTTTTCTTATTAGCTAATTTATATTAAAAAAAAAATGGTGGGCCTTACTTCTATCATTATTATCAGCTTAGGGTGCAATCTATTTGAGATTGGCTGCTGGCCTCAATTCTACACAACTCCTCAGCCATCCATAAGGATTATTCCTCTGCCGTGGTGCTCACAGAGTATCCTGGATACTCCATACTTTGCTGAAGGGCTGTCCTGAACCAGTCACTGGGGTGTTTCAAATGTAGCCTCTCAGGGCACAGATTGAGCGTGACAGGGGTGGCAACTCTGGGAATGGGCATTAACTCGAGTGACGATTGTGCCTCTGCGGGGCAGTATCAAGCGAGCGAGAAAAGAGTCACTCAATATGATGCCACTGTTAACGGTTCTTTGATATTTTCCCGAAGCACAGTCTCTTAGCCTCAGATATGCAGAACAAAATCACTCTGCCCACCATTAGAGGAGTCTGGATTCCTCAGCGGGGACTCCAGGATTATCCATACACCTGTGCCTTCTGAAGCCCGGGGTGAAGAAATAGAAGAAAAAATCAAAAGGGAGAGAGAGGGAAAGTGGGAGTAGCGAGCCTTGAGAAGTGGAGCAGGCGTGTGTCATCTTCGCAGAAAAGAAATAGCCAAAGGAGGAGGTTGTTGATTCATGCAACAATTTCAGGTCAGCTAGAGGGTTACGTTATCTCTTTACCAGCAAGTTTTATACGCGTTCTTAAAGATGAGGCACGGCTTCGTCAGACTGAGCTCTCTGTATCAGTGAGCACTGACGTCGCAACAGACTGTTTAGCCATTATTTCAGACGCAGCACAGTTGTTTCACTTCACACACCTGTCAACATGTTAATGCAGGAAACATGTGCTTTGAGTAACTGATACACACATGTAGTCCATGATTTTGCAACGACAGCGCAGGGTTTGACAGTAAATGTATGTCATGTGTCCGTATCAGTGCATTTCTACATGTGTTTTATGTGTCGTTTGTAATTTTCTCGTGTCGTTTTGTGTGTATGTGTGCACATATGCGTGTGTCTTTGCGTGTATATGTTCAGTGTGCGCGCGTGTGTGTGTGAGCGCGTCTGATGTTTATGTCTATGTTCATTGTTCAAATTAATGATGTTTTCTATATGAAATATGGGCAGTGAAAAAGTCATACTCTGAGATACAGTCTTGTCGTTGTCTATAAGTCCTGTTTGAGTTTATGCTGTATAATAACACAGCTTTGATTACATAGTTTAATGAATCTACGCTGACTTAAATCCTACAGAGTATAACTTTGAGGGGATCAGTCACATGATGGTACGTTATACTGTTCTTATGCCATGTTAAAAATCTGAGAAAAAAAAAAGAAATCCCCTTTCTCACTTGCCATGTAACTCCAAATGCTGCAACTCTACTTTTTGAGTGACCTTTTAAAAAAAAAAGAAGCCAAAAAAAAAAGCAATACATCAACATTTATAATCTGGGCTCTCATGGTAAATCCCAATCATTTGCCTGATAGAACAGCTTAGCTCTTTAATAATGTGCAGTAAAAAAAAGAAAGAAAAAGAAAAGAAAAAAAAGAGCAATGCTCTCTGGCCCTCCCCCTCCTCCCTCCTCCACCCTAGACGCTCCACACTCAACCCGACTAGTTTTTGCTTTTGTTTTTTTGTTTTTCTCCTCTTTTAAAATTGAATATGTCCACCACCTTTCCCCAGGGGACAGCAAACACAATTGTCCATCCTGCATTAGCTCACAAACATAATGCTACCAGTCATCTCCCCCGATACAACCTATTCCTTTGTCATTATAGTTTC